CTGCACAAGCAGGCAAGCCGATAGTCTGGCGCCTATCTAAGCGGATAGGTCTGACCCCTGCCATAGTATCTATGAATCCCCGCTGAGAGAAGCGATAGGCTCTTTCTCAGTCAAATGCAATCCCTAAGAATTATTAACAGCAATAACCATGCGCACTAGGGAATCGTGTAAGTTATGTCTTTGACCACAATCGGTTTCACAACAATGCTTTTGCTTCCTTCTACTCTGTAAGTGAAACCTAAGCCTTTCAGAAAGGCGTACAGCGTTGGGGCAGGCATTGGAAAGTCAGCGTATGCCCAAACAAGCTTATTATGTAGTTCAAGAACTGACAAATTCTTATTCTGCTTCAATTCTTCGAGAACAAAATGGCGAACAATATCGCCCCATTCTTGGCCATACTTCTTCATCACGAGTACACGCATTTGCTCACAGCTCTGTTCTAACAGTGCTTTTCTAGCTTCTTCTTCCTTGGTCAGTTTTCGAGGAGGTGGAGGAGGAGGTGGTGGTGCAGTTTGACCACTTGAATTTCCTGGGAGCTGGCCTGGCTTCAGTCGATATATCGTACCCATTGATACACCACAGGCTAATGCCGTCATTTGCACTGGGTGATTGAAGACAGTTCCGTTGCAGACATTACCCATCTCTCTTTTGAGCCCTTCAAAAAACTCCCGCACATTCTTCATAACATCCCTCGTTCCCTGATCAAAGGGAACCCGCTCTGCAGGTCGACGTCTGCCTGTGACAGGATCATAGCAGTTGTCCGTTGGAGCGGTGAGGATTTCAGTTGTGAGACTCCGAATTCGTTTGCAGAAATTCTTGCAATCCTTCTGCAATGAGGATTATCATTTCTTCTGAGAATCAACACGGGTAAGAAAAATTATCAGATAATTTGGACTGGAAAATTAGTTCAACTGTACTACTAAATTTTCAGCGCATGATGAATGGTAGCATATAAAGAGCTATAGTCGAGTAGATTTTCCCGCGCACCGAAGTACCGGCTTATACGTTGAAAAAGATCTAAAAACTTCGACAGTCCATCTAAAAACTATGCAAATAATCAGAACACAACATTACTACTTTTCAAAATATGACGATTCTTCCTGTCGCAACTATTGCGAAATGTGCACAAAATTTAAACAGAGGACCTATTCAAATGTGATAAAAACCCATCCAACAAAAATTGAAGTTTTCAGACCACACAAATGGTTTTGATTTGGACAAAGCCTGCCTACTAAAAAGGGAAGAAACCTCGGTCGAAGTGGGGTTTTCACATGTGATGCATATTATTGTGCTGCTCTTACGACAATAATACCAAATCCGTGTTCCTTAGCTGCTCAATGATCTTCCGTGAAAAGTTTTGTAAGCGATGGTTTCCCCAGAATGACTACGAATCGCTTAAGTTAGCAGCACCGAGAAATGTCTTGTGGAGGGATGGCTGAGTGGATAGCTGAGGAGACTATAGATGAAATAGTAAGAAGCTCGGAATACTTATCTTCCAAACTTTGCATTTATGCAAATTATCAAGGAGAGCCGGATGTTCCTCTATAAGGACCCTCTAAGGATCGTATCAACAATGTGCAAATTGCAAGAATGTTTGGACCATAAGTATTCCAAACTCTTTACCACTTCCTCCATAGTCTCCGCAGCTAT